TTATTTAAAAAATAATCCAACCCAAGACTGCTATGAAGTACTATTCCCACTTTACAGATGATTAAACATCAAAGATTAGCAACTAAAAAAACACAAGGCAACCGAAAGTAGGTAGGTCAGTTTTCAAGACCAGAACTGATATGAGATGGAACAGTCACTGAATCCTGTGGAGAGAACTCACACTTAAATAAAAAACAAAATCACTGAAGAAATATTTTATCAAAAAGCATTGAAACTTTACTAATATTTTATTTTTTCTATTTGGCTTCTCAAAAAGGGTGGTACAGTTAAGAATTTTTTTTGAAATGGCTTTACAACTGTATCTTCCCCTTTTTTATGTGGAGACTTTTCCATAAGAATATTCACTTTAATCAGATTTTTGCATGGCTGGTAAATCGGATATGCAGTAACATTTTCAAACTCTTTTACCTCCTCCTTTACCCTCTCACGCTTCTCATATGTATGTGGCTCTTTCTGCCTTTTTCTCAAGATTTCTTCCTTGAGTCTTTGCTCTACAAGTTCTCTCCCTCGAATCATGCGTTCCTGGTGATCTTTAATTTGTGTCTGTTCTCTCTCATATATCTGCTTCCTTCTCTGTGCAGTCTGGTTGCAACGTTCTGGTACAATTTTTGGAAATATTGTTTCACTGGGGCGTGGTATTATTTGTCTAAATGTTTTATTCTTAAACTCTCTGGTGCCTGTTCGATGTATGTGTCTTTCTATGTGTTTCACCTCTCTCTCGGGTACCAAATAGTACTGTTTTTGTCTCTCTATGCTTCTGGTGATTTTTCCCTCCAATTTCTTCCTGATTTCATCGCTTGTTTCTTGTCCTCTCATCATTTCCATTATTTTTTTATTGTAATAAGACTCTGCTTTGGCAAGCCAGTAGTCAAGAGAAAGAGCTTGCTCCCTACAGAGTGTTTCATGCTCCTCTTGATATTTCTTAGTTATCAGTTGTCTTGCTGCTATTGTATGCACGCCACCTAGGTTCTGTGAAGGGGAAGTACAGAAGTTTTATAATCTAAAATCCTATTACTCTGAACATATTCAAACAGGAACCTACCCTCGCTACTGACACCAAAAGAGGAGACATGTAACCTTTTATTTAATTTGTGTAGCAATTCTGATTTTGCTCCCATCACTGTGAGCTCTGAAAGTACCCATTACCAAAATCAATTAGCTAGTTTTTATAAATATAGTGTTGAGAGTTTCAAAATAATACTCTTATTTTCAAGTATGGATATAGTTGGAAAACATTTGCCAGTACATACACACTACTGGAAGTTGTCGCTTGGACAGAAGGGTTTTAAACTTAAGGTCACTTTTCCTAATAGTTTCAAACTGTTGTGAAGATAATTTACCAGGATTTTTTTCTCTAGTGGGGACCGTTGACCTGCAGCAATCCTAGGGTCTTTAGATGCTTTGGCCCAGGCCAATCTGGAAGATAAAAAAAAAAAAAAAACCCAGGTGGATTAGAATGTGGGTGTTGTAAGAATACGCCTACTTACATGCCAACTGACTCAAAAGCCACAATTGTTTTGTATCAAGGCCAAGGGTATTTTTCTCACAAAGAGAAAATCAAATAGGCAGTCCTACAGCAAAGCCATTTCTCCATGGGAAGCCACTGAATTCCTATGGAGAGCAATGAATGTCTTTTTAGTAAAAGGAAGGTCATTCATATAAACTAAAAGCATACTTCTCTTGTGGACTACACATCAACCACTCTGAATCTGTCTGAGGTAGAGAAGAGCCAGACTCCTTGGTGAAGCATTGCGCGAGCACTTCTGTTTCAGATTGTTCAGGCCCCAAACTTTCTCTGTTTTGTGAGATGATTTTGGATTTTGGTGTTATCAGTTCATTCTCTTTCTGCAGTTTCTTGATCCGGGCTCTCTCTGCCTCTATCAACACATATAGCATCTTTGCTCTCTAACCTTTGTTCTGAAATTATTTTCTTATCTGATCACCCACCCCTCTCTACTTGCCTGTCTTACACTGCCAACAAGCCTTCACCCTAAATCCATCATGAGACCCTGTTGAACCCCATGAGGTGACAATCTGTGATGACAATGGGACAGGACAGGCTGATGGCAACACAAGTGCAGACTATCAACTTTTATGTGTCATCCTAGTCTAATCTGCATTTACTGTGAGGTCATCTGAAGCTAGTGAGGATGCCTACTATTTCATCTCTATGCCTGTTTGCCATTTATGGTTAAGAGTTGGGCTTTGGAGCCTGACAGGGCTGTCTGAATCCTAATTTTATCATCTTCTAGTTGGGTGACTCAGGGTAAGTAAAGCTCTGTTAGTTTCCTTACCTATAACATAGGGATTAGACAAATACTTGCCTTTCAGGATTGTAAAGAGCATATGTAAATTGAAGAAAGTGACACAATGTTTGACATGTGGCAAGTTCTCTATAAATGGCAGTTGTCCATCCTCCACAGGTTAAGCCCTGACTATATTAGTCTTTCTGGTCTAGTCTATGTAGCAGATTTGTACTTTCTTCTGAATTTTTTCACTTTCCTTGAAAATCGGTCATGGTTCACATTGTAACTCAAATCACTCTTAATATTTTGATGCTAGAATTATGAAGTGTAAGAACTACTATCTATAAATACAATTATCTGTCTGTATTATCAGAAAAGCACTGAAATCAAATATTAATTCTCACTGCCGTCTTAGGCATATTACTGTTTGTTTCTGTATAGCTATTTCAAGATTTAAAAACTATAACCACCTTTTATTTATCTAGCACCGTGATCACAATTATGAATATTAATGATTTGTTAACTACACTTGTCACATAATAGCTGAGTATCTCTTACATTCTCTGAAATACCATATAGATCTTTTTATTAAAACATTCATCAGGTTTCTTTGTAGTAGACAGCTAAATTTGCATTATATATCTCTGTCCTTCTTCTCAAATGTTGTCCTACAAGTGCATCTTCATTGCATTCTAATTGTTCACTTGTACTCAAGGTATTACAACCAGGACCCCCAAACCTGCCTTTTTTTTTCTTTTGTTTTTAAAGATATATTTATTTATGCATACAGAACTGGGGTACAGGCCAGAGGTGCGGGGGTGGTGAGAGGCTTCACCTGAGACAGAGTGGGGGCCAGAACAGGCCAACCAACAATGTATAATGCTGAGGGGAGCAGCAGGCAGGCCAGGAGAGGTCTGCAGTGCCATGTGGATCCCCTCCCAGGTAGGGATCAAACTCATGCTTAAGTGGCTTTTTCTTAGCACTGTGCTCTAACCCGTTTGGCCACCAGGGAGGACTCAAACCTGCTTATTCTAAATAGGTTCTGCCATCCACCACGTCAAGACAAAATATGTAAGACCTTTAGTTGAAAGGAACTTTAATACAATTTGTGTGCAATACAGAAAAGACAAAGAATACAGCTTCTAAATCAAACACCCAAAGTTACCCAACCCCTCATGGGTAAAAGTCCACCCAAAAGGGGTTGGCCCTGTAACAAAGGTCGGAGAACAGTTTTCAACTTTGCAGTTGGTGCCTCAGCTCAAAGTCTGCAAAAATGTTTAATACATACTAACTGAATGTCAGATTGTGAGTTTTTGTGGGAAAAGGGTCATGCTTTATAATGTCTGTTCTTTGGTGGCACTAGGAAATCCTTTGCTAGTGGATATTCACTTTTTTTCAAACTAAAAAAGTAATGTTGGGGAGAGGAGAGAACAAATTTCAACTTCTACTTTCAAAGGAGAAGAAACAAGAGTAAAACCTGATGACCAACACTGGTTGGGCAATGGGCTAGCCTTTGTAAGATACAAAGAAAGCAGGTTAAGAGAAATTAAGGGGCTCCCGGCTTTTCAGTGTCTTGCTCGGAGTTTTAACGTCATCATTACTGTGTCTTCCCATCACTACAGAGAAAGGCAGACTAGAGACTCTCTGAGGGCAGACCAGACTGTGTCCACTAGAGGAGACAATAGAGATGACTCCAGACTTTTTATAGGTAAGGAACTTAGCACAGGTGGAAAGGTAGCACTGGTGGAAAGATGGGAGGGTACTGAAAAACTCTTCTAGAGGCTGTCCCTTTGGGGGCAAGTTTGTATCTTAGATTGCAGATTATACGTGAATGAAAATGGCATGCATGCATGCCACTTGTCCTAATGGGTTAGAAACAATTAGAAAAATGTCAATTGTCCACCTAATGGAGGATGATGATCTAAAGTCTGCTGGAGGACAGACACTGGGAGAGGTAGCAGTGAGGGTCCTCAATTCAACCACTAGCTGTAATTCTTACCACAGCTACTTCCTTAACTAATGCAAATTTTCTTCATCTGGAAGGAGTCTAAGAACTGGGCTGCTTCCCAAGTTTTCCACTTCATCCCTGTTTCCTCTGGCTTTATGTGGCTAAGCATTACTCCTTACTTTACCCTCATCACTCCTGGACTCTTGAAAGACAACTCACCTCTTCCAAGGTCCCGTTTAGTCCCCAAAGCACCCAAACCTAGTGGGGTCCCAGCATGGCCCAAAAGACCCAAGGAGCGTTAGGACTCTATCAGAATGTCTGCTGTTCTGAACCACTGGGCAGCCACCTAGGGGAAATACCGGCCCGGGAAAGAGGGCAGTCGCGTTCTTCATGGCCAAAGAAAACAGAATTTGTAAAGATTGTCCAGGGACACGCCCCCGAAACTGGGCCCCTACATGGTTGTAAAACCAAGAAAAGACATTTCAGAACTAGGTCCTGCGGAGGGCAGGCTGACCCGCAGCACAGTTACCCGTTTTCGTAGCCGACGTTAGGAAACCGGGACGAGGTGGCACCGCACCTGCCTCCCAAGCGCGTCCTCTCCAGCCCGGCGGCTCGCGGAGCGCGCTGCGCGGTATTATGACGTCACAGCCAACCGCGAGCCGGGATTCGCCGACGCTCCGCCCGCCGCGCTTGCGGCCCCAAAGCATAAGCTGAGCCCGCCGGGCTGGCAGAGTCTCCGGCTGCTCGGGACCGCCCCTGGGGGCCCCCTGGTAGCTGATGCGGGTGGGATCTCCGTAAACTTGGGCTTCTCGGCCTCAGGAGCCCGAGGCGTGCGCGGGAGGAGGGCGCGTGTTACCTGGGCGGAGGTGCAGGGCTAACTGAGGATTCCCTGGAGCGGGGCACGCCACTCTCTTTGTTAATAAACTTGTGTCCTTCCCAGGCCTCGCTTGCCCATCATGGACCTCGCCGGCACTTGTTCCAGCTTTCAGTCGGACTTGGACTTCTGTCCGGACTGCGGCTCAGTCCTGCCTCTGCCCGGAGCTCAGGATACAGTCACCTGTACTCGCTGTGGCTTCTCCATCAATGTGCGGGGTGAGAGGGGCTAATAGGATGGTGCCCCAGCGGTAGGCCCAGCATGGAAGTAGGGTTGGGGAGGCTCAGAGATCACAATATCAGTTGGATAGGACGTAGTGTCTCCCCGCCTAATGGAAGCGGAATTGGGGGTGTGTGCCCAGTCCTGCCACTTGGGTGCACAACCAGTTTTTACTGCCTGCGCAGACTTTGAAGGGAAGGTGGTGAAGACCTCATTTGTGTTCAACAAACTGGGTACCGCTCTACCTATGTCGATGGAAGAAGGACCTGAGTTCCAGGGACCCGTGGTAAGTTAGTAACGTCAAGGATTCGCCCCATTAAGTGGCTGGGAAAGAAATGGAGTGGTGATTGGTGAGATCTGGAGAGGTGTGTGCCCAATTCCAAGAGGGGGTCTTAGAGCCTCAGTGTCTGAAGAGGGTGAATGTGGGATTCTATGAGAACTGAGGAGGACTGCCCAGGCCTCCCTAGTCCACAAGTAGTTCCTCAGGTTGACAGGCGCTGCTCGCGATGTGGGCACGAGGGGATGGCCTACCACACCAGACAGATGCGCTCAGCCGATGAAGGCCAGACTGTCTTCTACACCTGTACCAATTGCAAGTACGTATCCTCTCCCTGCTCTCTGCCTTTTTCTCAGTTTGCTAACTAGATACAAGACCCAGTGACTTACATTTTGTGTTGAATAAATTGTTTCTTTTAGTCCCATTCCTCATTTCTGCAGAATTCGGATAATAGCTTGGCAGTACTTTATTGTTAAAAATTGCACCTTCTTTTTATAAGAAAATTTAAAATGATTTCAAAGGAGATTAAAAAACACACAAGTAGATTCCAACATGTTATGCTGGAATCTTCTTTTAAAAAAATACAGAAGGATACATAATATGATTCCAACATATTATGCTCAGAATAGTTTTTGGTGAGAATTTACTTACATAGGTTAAAGAACATGGACTTTCTGCATGGTTTTAAGACCTGTGTTTTTCTGTGCTGGGCAGTTTCAATACTGTATCTCAAGAAGTGCCTTTTTTTATTTATCTTTTTTGTAACTTGTTGGACTTTCTAAAAATGAGCACTGGCTGGTGGTTTTTTCATCAACCTTGAAATTGCCCTTTTTCCATCTTCTCAATTCTCGCATTCTGGAACTCTGGTTAAGTAGAACTGCCCTCTGTTTCTTTTATCCCGTCTTTATTATTTTCCATCATTGATTTTTTTTTTTTGAAATGTCTGTATTTGTGTATATCTCACATCGTGTAGCCCCCATAGAATTTCCACCACCAAGTTACCCACACCAGCACCTTAATCCCTGTGCTCTTCCCGCAGTTTTGTACCCTCTTCCTCCCCCTACCCCATGTCTCTGATTTAGTTGTCTGATTATTTTTGTTTAGTTTTGTTGTATTGATTTTTTTTCATCTTTTTTTTATTATTATGTTTTCTTTGGGTAATTAAGGTTTCTCTTCCAGCTTTAATACTGTATCCATTTTAATTATTATTTAAAAATTTTTTTAGTCCTACTTGATTTTTCAAATATCATCATTTAAAATAATTTTCAATCCTTAATCATAAATCTTCCTTTTATTCTTAAAGTAAGATTTACATGTAACTAACCATATTAAACATGGCTATTTAATAGTGATAATTTGAGTAGTTTTTTGCGGGTCTGATACTGCTCTCTGCTATTTCTGCTTTCATGGTGCTTTTTTCCTTTCTTTTGTGATTTTTGACTATA